TTTTTTTTTTTTATCAATTTTATTTTTTAATATTTGATTAGTTAAAAATTAAATTTTAAGATCTTTTTAAATTTATTGTTTCTACTCAAATGACTTTGATCACGCTTAATAAATTAAGAAGGATTGACTTTTTTTTTCTTTTCATTATTCAATTTTTTCTTTTCTTTTAAACGTGTTTACATCTATTAAGCTTCTTTTTTTTTTTTATCCGATCTATAGTGAATCTCGAGTTACGTAGGTGGCGTGTACAGTCATATTAGTTTTTGATAATTTATGATGGGAAATTAATCACCTTTAATTTAAATGTCTTACATTCGTCCCTAGCCTGTGAAAGGATAAAGAAAACATGGTATATAACTGATGATGATGCCGATTAATAATTTATAAATTTTTTCTTGAAACTTGAAAGTTACGTTCCACCATCAATATATTGCTCGATGAAGGGGTTTAAGGCTTAAAATAAACAAAAAAAAAAAGCTATAATCTCTCTCGTCCAAAAGCTTCTTGAAGCATGGACCAGATCATGGTTCTCTTTCCGACGCCGGCAGTTCCTTCGAATATGAAATGATTGCAATCAAAGTCCCTCATGTATAAAATGCATAGAAGCATATATAATCAATATAAATAAATATTGATCACTCGTACGTATAATTTAATAAAATTTTAAATGCAGAGGAAGAGATAGGGAAAGAGCCTCACCACACACCCTGCATTTTAATGGCTTGATCTCGATTGCAGATGAAATCTTCCAAAGCTTTGGGCTGGCACTTGTTTGCCCACATAAACTTCCCTCCATTATTCACCACGTCAAGAGTACTTGGACAGTCCAATATGTCATGATCATCATCATTTGTTTGAGATGGTGCTGCAGCTAGTGGTTTTGTTTCTCCCTAAATGGTTTCTCTTCAGTAACAAACGCGAAAGCATTAACGTTATCCGTCTCCTTCTCTAAGGTCGTCCTGGCTGATGGTAGAGGAGGAGGAGGAGGCGGAATATTTGGGAGCTGGGCTTGGTTTCATAGGATTAATGTTATTGCATCAGGGGCATTCTTCGATTTAAAGGAAAAGGAAAAGCAAGAACTCCACTCTTGCATCTTAAAGATGAAAGAGGAAAGAGAAGTGGAAATGGAGACAGTGGAGGAGTGTCTGGATGACGTATCGATGCTCTTCCTTCCTTGGAGGATAAAGGTGCCCAATCTGTTGGTGTTACTCCAAGGTTGCCAGTAGGACGACTTGGAGGACTGTGTAGAAAATGCAGAGCGGTTGGATGGAGGTAGATGGTGGTCGGCTCTGGATGATGATGATGATGAACATGTCAAGTAGGGATCAGAAGTCGACAGAGGGATTGCTGGATTCAGGCGGCATGGTATAATTTGCAGAGCAAAGATTTCTGTTTCTCCTGGGAAGAGGAGGTGGTGCTGATACTGACTACGGCAAAACATGAGATTATGTGTTAGTTAATCTGGTTTCAAGGGATATTCCAAATAATGACAATTACATCACCAATCTGAGGGACTCTTGCGACACAAACATTGCCGGAGCATGAGTATGACAAAACACCAGCCACCAGGCCGTCCATGTCAGTAAGAATTTCATGTTACAAAAAACGATCATCATTTCATGCGCTTCTTCCCTTCAACGCAGATAAGAAATTACAATGCAACACTCCCTCCTCGAACGCAATTCTTGACCTTCACTCATGAAGTGAACTGTATGTGTGGATGATGGTGTTGTAGAGGTTCCCGATTAAGCTCCCTGTTAGGCCTTTGTTTTCCTGGAGAAAATGTAACAGGGAAGCTAGGGCTGAAGACGTGCTGTGTAGTAGGAGCTAAACATATGTTCACGCTCAGGTCTAGCCATGGATAGGGGAGTTTCTCTGATACCATTGATTCGGTATGACTAAACACCCTTTACGGTTTTACCAGATCAGAGAGTAGGTAGATCAGTCTTGCGAGGCACAAACTAGCTTGAGAATGCCACTTTTAGTGTAACTAAATGAATTTATCATTGCACTGTCTATTCGTCAAAATGAACTTGAATTTGCTGTTATAGCAAATCAAAGTTGTGACGAGGTTTTTGCAAGAAAGTAAAATCAGAAAATTAGGTAGCCTATAAAAATCCTAAAACAACTGTACAGAACTCTGAGGTGATAAATTTTACAAGACTGCTAGTAAAAATGGTCTCATTGAACTACTAGTCTTTGAAGATGATCCAAGAAGACCTCAAAGCTCACGTCATCGGTAAACAAGACATCTCCACTGGGAAGAGGAGAATCAGAGTTGTATGAAGCAGAAGGGTTCAATTTTGCCAGAAGAAAACGGGCCTGCATCGAATAACAATGTTAGCTGACACGCGGTATCAAATTAAACACATATATTAAATAATGTGATTACAACAGGGCAGGTAACCATGCATCTAATTAATACCAGGACATTTGGCCAATCATCCAAGACATATGACACTTAAAGAAATAGTTTCAGTTTGGATGCATAGGCCCTCCAAAAAAGCATATGCAGCAAACCTGTCTTTATTCAGCAGAGGATAATAGGAAAAGGCAAAACCTCTGTTCAAAACAGTTCAGAGAACTGGCATTAAGCAGATGCGTTTGCTTTGAAGGGTTAGTTGTCAGCTTCTGCAAAGTGTTGCCTACATGCACAAGAAGCACGAGCCTAGCCACAAGGTGCAAAACGCAAGCATATGCATGTACTTTCAGTATGTAAAATGTGTAATAATAAAATTTGTAAGACAACGGAAGAAAGCTCTTCTAGAAAATGGGAGAAAAAGAAACGAAAGTGATAACAATGACAATTTAACTAGCATATTAGCTCAAATGGCCTCTCAAATGTTGTTGATAAAGGTTCTGCTCAAATTCTACGTAGGTTTGAAAATTCTGTTTACTAACAGGCAAAAAAGAATTAGCAAAAACATAAAACTATTAAATGATAAGAAAATTGTTCAAACAATGAATCTACCACTATCCCATTCTGAGAAGGATAGAAACATTATCCTTGTAAAGCATAAGACTGGCAAACATCTCTCTCTTCAAATGTTTCTCCCTTTTCAGCTTGCTTCAGGAAACTGCTATGGGCCGAACAAAAACAACTACATGAATGCAGTAGCCTTTATAAATAGCAATAAAGAGACAGATAATAGTGATGATATCCTTGTGTAGGCTCTTGGAAAAGAGCCTTGTGTGCCTTGGTAGCTGGTGAAGTGCCTTGCTAACTTGAAAGTGTTTAGCCGCAAAGCCTTCTGCCCAGTGCCTATGGTTCATGTTAACAACACTGGTACTACAATATGTAAATTGTGGCGCAAACTTAAACTTCCAGTCACAATCAACAAGTAGGAGTAAAAGTCAGAGGTCAATCTTTTGAGAAAGAGGAACAATGAATAAGAGCAAACCCAAGCTGCTTATCAAAAGAAAAAAAAGAAGCAAACTCATGTTATCCATAATTGAATGCTTATTTTCAGTTCCGAAGTTTCATAAATAAGAGAGCACCTGTGAACCATGCTGATCACAAATGACCAAGCGAGGAACTGGAAACCTTTCCTTGATTATTTCATCTGTGTCATCTCGAGGAGCTTGCAGCAGCTGGGCAAATGCCTGCAAGGACAAAAATGATTTCATAAAAAGAGGAAGCAGGGCAGTAAAAGAGAGATGATGGAGGCAGCATCACCACTGCCACTAGGTTCCAGAACCACGTGCCTCTTTCACCGTAAACCAAAATGCAACCACTGTCCGGAAAAAAAAATAACTGAAGATATTTTATGGGAGTATCTATTGTAAGATAATCTGCGGTAATATCTGAAGCCACCTACTTGTTGGATTGTATATTAACATGATTTGTCATCAAGAACAATTTTTATAACTTAATGGTGATTCTCTGTACCTCTAACATAGAGCTATGACTGAAAAAATAAGCTCAGAACACAATGTGATATAATGAGATAGAACTGCAATCAATAAGAAAAAAAGAGAACAAGAAACGGTTACTAAACATTTATGTCACTTTGTATACTTTGGGAGACCAAGCAAGTGTATACTATATCACAATGAACTGGTCAAAATAGTGATCACCATGCTGATGTCATGGGAGTGAAGTTCATTTTCTGAAGTTAGCAACCATGTTAATTAAGTCAAGGATTTAGAATCTCTCACTATTAAGAATGTCCTTGATTATATGTCAGTTTCAGGAATGGAGGTGGCCTATAAATTAAAAGACATGTTTTTTTCATATGGCTCATATCATGTCATCTTAACAGAACAGAGTACCTGATGTTCAGGTTGATTATGATATCCAGCTTTCCGCCATTGAGCAATTGTTGCCCCATGAAAAATGACAACAGTGAAATAAGAGTCCAGAAGCAGAATTCTATCAGCTGCAATGGCAGCCACGTCAAGAAGTGCTGGTTCTGGTCCTGAATGAAACGAATAAGAAATCAATGAGGGCTGAATCATCACAACTGAATTGGCAACATTTTCACGATTCAGTGTAACTCTAAAGTATGCTGTCTCATCTGGGCTGTTGTTGAAGACCTGTAGAATAACATTAACTGGAGCATGTAAGGATTTCAAAGGACCTAACTGATTAATTTTTGTTAAGAATAAGTGCTTAACAAATAAATCTTGAATTCACTATATTACCTGGACAAACTGAGAACGTCGTAAATGAAACATAAATTGAGGAAATATTGAAAGCCGAGAAGATAGGCTGAAAGAAGATGGACTATCCTTCTGATAGTCTCCAAATCGAGCACATAGATGTATCAAAGCTTTGTCTAGCCATCTTATGGGGTCAAACTCAGCCTTCTTGACAGGTATCATCAAACAACGCAATGGCAGAATGGTTAAAATGCCAAATACCTATTACTATTCCAATAAAGTAACACAAGCCTACTTAACAAAGAGACCGTTTTTCCAAATCTGTAATAACTTGGGCACATATCAGTATTTTCTAGACAACTGTTTCATCACCCCTCAAACTATGCTAGCAATAAAGCAAAAGCAAAACAATTTCATTGAAAAAGAGCCCCTGATTTTCAAAGTTTGAAGGTTCTTCCAAAACAGTGTGTCACTCCACAACAAAATGGGGCTGTGGAGAGAAAGCATTAACATACTTTGAAAGTTAAGATTTAAAGTCAATTTACCTCCTTTATTTTATTTTTTTTCTTTTTTTGAGGGAGGGTAGCTACAGCAACTTATAATGTCAATCGTGGACCCACCCCTTTTATAATGTGGTCAGAGTCCATATGAAGCATTTTTTCATGCAAAACCTTCATATTCATATTCAAATTATGAATTTTTGGATGTCTTTGCTATGCCAGCACTGACACATACAATCGCTCAAAATTTAAAATTTGAACTTCAAGCATGACAATGTGTTTCTCTTGTTTATCCACTAGCTTAGAAAGGTTACAAGGTTTTTTATCTTGAAAATCAAAATATAAAAATGTTTCTAGGGACAGTCTTCCATAAAAATATTTTTCCTTTTGAATCTAATAAGTCAGGGAGTTCCTTAAAATTACTTCTTCAAGGGGAAAAAAACCCCAAAAATCTGTTTGAAAATTCCCTAAAACTGAGAAGTGGCTTGTTCCTAGACACATTCTTATCTTCGCAGACCATCAATTAGAGGTACTTTCTAAAATAAAGAGGGGTTACTGGACTCAATTGATTACTCACTGTTTGTTTGTAAATGTGGTGGTGCGTGTCTTCCAGCACAACAGAGATCTTCTCAGAACAAATCTCATTGATAACCCTCACTATTTCACATCCAAGAATTTACAAAAGCCATCAATGATGTGATGGTTACCTCATTTTCCATTTTGAAAGACACTAGGCGTGCCATAGCTACAGCAGCTGCTTCTTGGTCGAATCCAGCAATCAAGTCCTAAAGCATATTAAAATGGAATGAGAATTACAAATAAAAATTCACTAGTACCCAAAAGAAGAAAAGGAAGGAAGAAAAATTGATCCATACCCTGTATCAGAAGAAAGAATGATCTGACCACCATTTTCTATTTTATTAATATGTGGAAAGTGCAAACAGTAAACCAAATATTGAATACGATTCCAAGCACCAACAGATAGATCTGTGTGTGTGTGGTCGATACGCATATTACCTGACCAAACTTTTAGTAACTAAATTAATATGTGCATAGTCTATCTATCCTCCTATTATGCCTTTTAACACACAATATTGGCATGCATTATTGCAAAGCCCAAGTTGTTCTGGAAGATCACAGGATATATTTTTAATAAACTATAAAAATAGTGACAAAAGGTTGAGAAGCTTGACAGTATTTTATTCTGCACGACACACTGCCTGTCAGCACCCTGGTCTCCTATGCTGCCATGATATCACCTTTCATCACTACATCAAGTCTAGGTGGCACTTTTTGCTTCTATATAAAATGAGAGCATCACTGGAATTCACTACACTCGTATGAGAAATTTCAAGCTCCTGATAACAAATATTAAAAAAAAAATAGCTACAATATTCAAAGACATTAGAAAAACCCATGCCCCCATGTCAGATTAATGCGTTTTTTCTTTTTTCCCTGCAACTTGCAAAGCCCGAGTTGTTCTGGAAGATCACAGGATATATTTTTAATAAACTATAAAAATAGTGACAAAAGGTTGAGAAGCTTGACAGTATTTTATTCTGCACGACACACTGCCTGTCAGCACCCTGGTCTCCTATGCTGCCATGATATCACCTTTCATCACTACATCAAGTCTAGGTGGCACTTTTTGCTTCTATATAAAATGAGAGCATCACTGGAATTCACTACACTCGTATGAGAAATTTCAAGCTCCTGATAACAAATATTAAAAAAAATAGCTACAATATTCAAAGACAGATTAGAAAAACCCATGCCCCCATGTGAGATTAATGCGTTTTTTTTTTTCCCGCAATGGAGGAATGGTATGGCATAGTGAGAGTAGCTTAGCAGGTCATATTTTCATTAGGGCAACATTTTTTTCTGCTATTCATGGATTTGATATATGACTACTCATCATGCAAGAAACAAGACAAGTGTGGCATATTAAATAAGTTCGTTACATGATGTCTTCACTTCTATTTTTCTCCCAGATATATCCCAGTTCTATTGGACCAGCAGGAAATGAGAAAACAATAAAATGAGAAGTAGAAGATCTAAAACACCTTTTGGACTCAGATTTTTCATAAATACAATTGATATTCTCTTAATAAAGCAACATGAACATAAATGAAAAATATTAAAAAGTTTGTAATAATGTGTAGGGTAATTATAGGGTGTTTGGGAGTGTGGTAGAGATTGCTTTTCAAAGTATTTTTTCATAAATACAATTGATATTGTCTTAATAAAGCAACATGAACATAAATGAAAAATATTAAAAAGTTTTTAATAATGTGCAGGGTTAGGATATTAAGAGAGTATTTGGGAGTATAGTAGAAGTTGTTTTTCAAAGTATTTTTCGCTTGGAAATGCATTAAAATAATATTTTTATTTTTTAAAATTTATTTTTAACAACAGTACAACAAAACAATCCAAAAACACTAAAAAAAATTAATTTGAAACAAAAAAAAATCAAATTTTGATGAAAAACAGGCAAAGCCAAACACCCCTAAGTATATGATGCCTCTTAGATCGGTGACTAAAACTCCTGACTACATAGACTTTCTAGTCATACACCTATAAAATTGTCTTAATAAAGCAACATGAACATAAATGAAAAATATTAAAAAGTGTTTAATAATGTGCAGGGTTAGGATATTAAGAGAGTGTTTGGGAGTATAGTAGAGGTTGTTTTTCAAAGTGTTTTTCGCTTGGAAATGTATTAAAATAATATTTTTATTTTTTAAAATTTATTTTTAACAACAGTACAACAAAACAATCCAAAAACACTAAAAAAAATTAATTTGAAACAAAAAAAATCCAATTTTGATGAAAAACAGGTTCAACCGCAAAGCCAAACACCCTTAAGTATATGATGCCTCTTAGATCAGTGACTAAAACTCCTAACTACATAGAGTTTCTAGTCATACACCCATAAGTATATTAGTTACTTTTTTATTTCATAAATGAGTCCTGATTAATAATGAGATCATGTTTTATTAGATGAAGAACATCCATGTTTGTTTAAGCTCTAAAGGATTAGCCAATCCAAGAAAAACAAATGGAACAATAATGCATCACACACAAGAGCACAGCAGAGCTTGCCTGAGCACTTCCAAGTCCAGCAACCCATCTTCTAGAGAGGGTTGTTACACGAAGCCTCATTTGACCACCACTATGCTGATAGCTGTAGCAAATTATGATTAATAAGTCAGAGAACCATCCATCTTTTCCAAGAAAAAAATAACAGGAAACTAACCACTCAAAAAAGCATAAGCTTCGCATACTAAGTCAGAAATTGGAAGTAGAATTGATAGCTTGAGGGTTGTTGAATAGTAGTATCTGTGCTGTCCTTCTTTGCAATTTCAAATATTAGACATAAAGTTGTAGCTTTGTCCAGGCCACACATCTTCCATGCACTTGTATTTCCCTGGCCTACAACTGTGTCAGAGCACAAAGGACCTTTCTGCACAAAGTCATGGACAAGTAAATTTACATTGAAGAAAGCCAAGAAGAAAACGAAAATCACCAAAAAATCCGTTGGATCATACCTTTTCAAGCGATGCACAAGGACCAATAATGCCTTGAACTCTGATATCCTTCGAGCAGTTTACCTCAAATATACCACTATATTGCACGCGCGAAAAAATAATTTCTTAATATAGTTCTAGTCCAGGCAATCAAAAATATACAATTATATCACATATAAGGAAACAAATAAGGGAACTTTTGAACAAATCACATGAGGTTCAAGGCATCCATGAGCTAAAGAAATATAACATGTTTTATGAGGAAGTACAAAATTGTATTGGGGAAACAACAATGGTATCAGATGCTGTATTTGATAAAGCAATATAATAAAGAGTAAACCACCAAGCACAAGCAATAAAAAATTGTTCCATAATACCGGTCTATCTAAGCTACAAACTAAGAAAAACAAATTCAAAACCATAAAGTGACACCAATGCCGTAAGAACTATAACAAAATTCAAACCTAGTGAGACCATATCAACACTTGTTTCACAGTACACATCTATGTTTTTTATGGAGAGCAATGCTACAACCTAGTAAATATCTATTGCTTCGTACTGTTAGAAAAATTATATATCCCCTGATGAATTTAAGAAACCCCTAATTGATTTTGAGGTCTATCTTCTTCATTTTTGCTTCCCGATCTACATCCTATGTCCAAAAACAAACCCAAGGAAAAGCAAAATTAAAAAAAAAAAAAAGCACAAATTTATATATAGAAGAATTGTACATCTTTGAATGTGAGTTACTTGAGTTTTTGCAGTTTATTAATGTCCATACTATTGCTACCACTACAAATTACGTTGCTACAGTATGTTATATTCACAGCTACCTGGGTTTATCATTTATAATTAGATTGATGGCAAGACTCACAATGAATAGATTGATAATTTCTTTTCAGTAAAGCTGAAAGTTTGGCAAGTGATAGGATCATTGCGGGTTATAAAAAAACTCAAAAGGATAATGGGAAACTTCATAGACCAGCATAAAAGGAGATTGAATAAATCTTACTTTGATGATAGTCCAAGATCATAATCACCCAACTGGAGAACACGTCTCAGAGAATCCTTAAAGACTATATGGCCGAAGCTTTCTGCAAGCACGACAAGCCCACCAGTTCTTTCAATTGCAACTTTAAGTTCAGCAACCCCCACCTAGGAAGACAGTCAAGCAAAAGAAGCACCTCTTGATTTTCAACCCATATTAAGCATTCAAGAATCAGGTTGTTTGGAACCAATTCTCTCTTGTAAACTAATTCAATTATAGTATTCAAATTGACCTCAACTGATAAATAAGTTGAATTCACATGCTTGTAAGACATAGAATTCAATTCATTTTGTTTTCTATATTACCTTCATCACGTTCATCTTATTTCTTCAAATGTCTCTAAAAAAACAAGATGAGTATTTTGGGAAAGCTATTTTAATATTAAAATTCTTCTCATTGGAAATGTCATTCAGATGGGTTTACTTTTGATTTACTTTGTACCATTTTTTGAGATTGAATTTCATTTGAAATTCAATTCTTGACACTCAAAATGGTTTCAAACATGAGATTTCATTAAAACCTCTAAAATGAATTCAATTCAAAGAGTTTCAAACATGCTGAAGTAACTATAACAGCAGTTTATGATGAATACATATTTAAAAATAGGAAAGCAGCGTATTAAATGTAGGTAGGGGCTGACAAAATGCTTAACATCTTATTGACTTCTGTGTCCCAGATGTATAGAACAAAAATCATTAGAGACACAATGAGAGAGACACAAAGAACCAGATGTATAGAACAAAAATCATTAGAGACACAAAGAGAGCTAATCATTACCAAGCTATCCAGAAAAGTCAGACCAAAAAAGATTGATAGCATAAGGCTAAGTAAATAGATGTCCAATGAAAAAGCAGTCAAACATGGAGCAATTGTAGTATTCAAGAATTATATGTATTTGACACAAAAAAGAGCATAGCCCCATTAATGAAATTAATTTTTTTTTGACATGCAATAGAGCTCTGCAGCATCTCCAATCACAAAATATTTCTAAAACTACAAAACCCAAGTTTCAGTAAACAGGCAAATTAGAAGTTTGACCTTTACTATGGGAGTGCCCTTTGTCAAGATATTTGCAAAAGGAATTTAAAAAAGAAAAAAGATATACATATAGCATCAGACGGAATGTAAAATTTCATTAAATTTCCCCTTTTTATTCCATCAATACACATATAGATACTGGATACTCAAAGTTAAACACACACTAAATGCTGGTCGGTATCTGCTTGTTGTAAGAGTTGGCTATTACCTGGTCGAGGGCACAAGCAAACAGATTGAGCACATGACCTTGATGTACAAGCTGCTTAGCAAGTCTCTCGTAGAACTTGACAGCTTTATGATAATGAGTAGCAGAGTCCTTATCGATGTCCTTGTGAGAACGAATTGGTTCGGAGAAATTCTTTGACACAATCTACAAGAAACACGGGAAAAAAAATTCCAGTAAAAAAAACATAAAAATAAAAAGAAATGGAGGATAATGTATAAGAAAAGTCATTACATGAGTATACACATAAAGTGACAAGAGATGATGTAGAAACAATACAGTGCAAATGGGATAACCGACTATGAGTAAACATGGAAGCGGTCAGCATCTTGATGATTGATTATGCGGTAAGAGTTAGAACTTAGAAACACGAGTTCAGATGCAGCTAAGTCATGTAGGATTCATGTAAGCAAGCAGAGTCCAGTTTAGAATTAGAACCAACAAGCATAGTGAGTTCAATAATCCTTAAAATAAACAGAAAATCAAAGAAAATGAAGTCCTTACAGAACCAAGTCCTTCAGTGGATGGGCCACCAATGAAAGCCATAATTCTAGCACCAGAACCAGGAACACAAGCTCCTAACAAACAAGCAGCCACACTGAGTGCAGTGCCGGTGCACCTGCTAGCCCGCTGATGGGGTGGCACCGGCCAAGGATCTTTCTGCAGCTCCTCCAGGACCTTTTTTTTTATTCATTTAGTAAATTTGGCTGATTAATTAAAAAACTCGATGAAAAATAGTTAACTTTATTCATTTAGTAAATTTGGCTGATTAAACAACTCGATGAAAAATAGTTATACTGTACTTATCATAAAATGAAGTAAGAAGAAAAAGGGAATTGAGAAATTACAGAGTTGAGTGTAAATTCGCATTGGGAGGCAGGCAAGAGGAAGCGGGAAATGCTATCGGAAGAGAGGCCATCCTTGGCGCCGGCAATTACACTAGTAGGGGGCTTGGGCGTCTTGAGAAAGAAGCCCATCTGCTCAAGAAGCTGGTCCTTGGAGACGTCCTTAGAGCCCTTGAAAACGTAGGTCTTAGGGGTTTCACCAAAGCCAAGCTCGTGAACGTGGACAAGATTACCAAAGGTAATGAGGCCCACCAAGGAGTTATCAGGGAGGAGTTCGATGGCCTGGGACAGGGCAGACTTGAGGAAGGCCATCTCCTCCTCGATCATGCAAGTGTCCAACACGAACATGAATATCATCGGTGATGGAGAGGAGGATGAGATCATCTGAGGTTCCTCGTACTCGATGGTCGTATACTGAGAGAAAAGCTCGGCAGGGAGGTTGTCGTCAGAGATGGCGGTATAGTGAGGGGGAAACTGGTTCCGTTGAAAGCAGAAGGGGCAGATCCAAAGCTTGGCAGAGAAATCGACGGTGCAGAATGGATTGAGGACTGAGCGACAGTTTCGGCAACGTAGTGGAGAATATGGGAGAACGGGCATGTTTGGGAAGGGCTTGATCGGAGTGTAAATGGCGGACACAGGTACCACACAGTTGCTTGATTCTTGCTTGGTGCCCGGCAGCACGTTCCAAGGCATTCTCACGCCGTCCTGAGCTTCCAGCTCCACAAATTCTCCCATCGCACAGATAATTCCAAATCGATTCGGAAAATTCTACGTATCAATACTTAGTCCTCGCCTGCTTCCTCCTCCTTCCTCTCTTATTATTATTATTATTATTATTATTATTATTATTATTATTATTATTATTATTATTATTATTATTATTATTATTATTATTATTATTATTATTATTATTTCTTTCTTTTGCATCCAACACAAGTTCTCTCTTTACTCGAAAACCAAATAAATTGTGTGTGTGTGAGCTCATTTTCGTCACTGGTGTTTTAACTTATTATCAATTTTGTCCTGAACAAATTAGATTTATTTATTTCCATCCCAAACTCGCATATTACAATGTTTATTATCCTCTTCTGTGAACACTAGATAAGTAGGGCTAAATTTTTAAAATGCTAAAAAAATATTTAGATGATTACAATCCGAGAGAATCTGTATTAAATTAACTAAAACGAGACTCGAAATATAAAATTAAAGGAATCATAAAAAAATAAAAATAAAATGTAAAGTTCAAGGTCTAAAGTTAAATATAAAAAAAATTCAAGAAAAAAATCTGAAATAATTCAGAGTAACTTGATAAATCTACAGCGAATAATATAAAATCAAGATAAAAAAATAATTTTAAAAAAATAATCTATTAAAAAAATTAAAGTTTAATAAAAAAAAGTTTGAAAAAACCCCAGTCAACTCGGGTTGAATTTTTCATCCTACTCTCGAAATAACCAAATAAAAAAAAAGTAAAAAAATGATAAAATTTGAGGACAAATAATTTAATATAGAATGATAAAATTATAAAAAATTATAAAAAGTAAAAAAAAAAAATATAATTCAACCCGGTTTAACTCTACTACCATGTCATCCATGATATGAAATCAGGATAAAAAATAAACTTTCAAAAAAAACTAACAAAAAGGACCCAAGTTAAAAAACATATTGTGAAAGAAAATACAAATTGACCTGAGTTAGCTTGATTAATCCATTCTCAAAATAACAAAACAAAAAGAGAAGTGGAAAAATGACAAAGTTCAAGAGCAAATGATTTTAATGTAAAATGATGAAATTAAAAAAAAAATTAAAGTCATAAAAAAAAATTGAGAAAAAAAAGAGTCAACTTAGGTTAATTTGACTCACCCACCACTCATAATATGAGATTGAGATTAAAAAAAAATTCCAAAAGAAGGACCTAACAAAAAAACAAAGTTAAATAAAAAACATCAAGTAAGAAAATGTTAGCTTACTCGGGTTAACTTGACTAACACGCACTCGAGATAACTTAATAGAAGAAAAGTGAAAAAATCACATAACTTAAGGGCCAATAATTCAATACCAAAATATGAAATTGTAAAAAAAAATTAATTTCACGAAAAAACTTGAAAACAAATATAAGACAATCATAGTTAACTTAACTAACCTATTACCCGAAATATGCAATTAGAATAACTTAACAAAAAGAAAAATGCAACAAACAATAAAACTAAGGGTTTAATAATCAAATATCAAATGATGAATTTAAACAAAAAATCAATTTTCAATAAAGGATTGCCCTATTGAAAGGCAACCACGAAAAATAACAAAGCAAAATATCTAAATATAAAATAATTTAAAATTCAAACAATGCATACCAAATAAGGTATAAAAACAAAATGAAAAAAAATAATTAAGGATTAAATTGAAAAAAAAACTAAGAAAAAGATCAAAACTAATTGAAAGAAGTAGGATCAAAATTGGATAAAAAATCAAATGAAATTAAATATTAAAGAATAAAAAATAATTAAAAATAACTTAAACCAACTCAATTAAACCTTCGAAACTTTTGACACAAATTATAAGGTCAGATCACAACATAAAAGGAAAACCCAAAAAAATGATAATGCAAAGTTTTCAACAAACCAAAATAGTTAAAGATAAACTTTAAATTTTTTTAAAAAATATAGATTTGAAAAGGAAGAAGAACCAAATTTGACACAAAAAATAAAACCAAATCAAAATAGATAAAATTGAAAAACAATTCCAATTAAGAAAATGATAAGAACAAATAAAAATAACAATGAAAAAAAATAAGTATTATATTTGATATAAAAATCAAATATTAATGAATAAAATTGAAAGACAAATTAATTCAATAAAGAATTCAAAACTAAATATATTACAATTAAAAAAATAAGAATCAAATCTAATATAAAAATCAAGTGTAAATGGATAAAATTAAAAAAAATAACTCAATAAATAATTGAAGACCAAATATATTATAATTAAAAGAATTAATATTAAATATGAAATAAAAATCAAGTGTCAATGGATAAAATTAAAAAAAAAACAAATTAACTTAATAAATGATTAAAGACTAAATGCATTGTGATCAAAAGAATTGAAATCTAATTCAATATAACAATAAATAGCCAGACTTTTTTATATTTTGCAATGACCAACACATTTTTCTAAGAGGGAGAGACAAAAAAAAGGAGGGAAAGAAAAACTTTTTGTTGGAGCTCCGCCAAGTTCCAGATGTGAAAACATATATCACCATCGTTGTTGCTATTCAATTTTTGACCCACTGTTTTCAAAAAAACTAGCAAAAAATAGCAAAAACCTAAAAAAATTATGTTTTTGATATATTTTCATTGTTTTTAGCATTTTCAACGTGTCTCAAAAGAATATAATTTTTCAAAGATTTTTTGAACGCGTTTGACTTTTGACGCGTTGTTTTTTTAAAATTATTAATTTTTCTCATTAAGTCGACGTTGATATTGCTCATTTAAAAAAAATTAAAATACAAAAAAAATACAAAAAATCAAAGTTCGCAAAAAAGAAAGAAAGTTGAGGGATCAAGTTTGAGGACCTAGTAACATTTTTACCAATAAATAGGTCATAACACCCATAAAACGAGGGGGCAATTTTGGGCAGAAAATTGGATAACCATAAAAAACCCTAAAAAACCCAATCTTTTCCAGAGGATATCACTCGCCCCCTTTCATTTGTAAAGAAAACAAATAGCTAGCCCTTGGCTTTTGATTTTTGACCTCACCACTACACTGCTTCACTCTTCTTTCTTAAACTCCTTTCTCTTCCAAAACCAGTGCCCCTTACCCTCTTGGCCAAAACCAGATGGCTCCTTCACCTTCTTCACCAAGTGCACGCCGTTTATATGCCCCTTTCCTCCTCTTTGGTTTACCCTTATTTTTTTTTATCCCAACCTTACCACACCTTTTTTTTCCCGGCCAACCACAACCATTTCCATCCATACACCCACTCCAATCGCTGGACAAACAAAAGACCACATGCTACCCTCATCTCCTTTATAGTTATCCATGTCATTACTATAATCTGTTATACTAGTCGCATTGCCTTCATCTCCCCTGATTAGACAACATAGAGCCTTTCCACCATAGACCCAACAATCTTCTTTCTTTCTTTCTTTTTATGCAGCATTTCCACCTTGACTGAAGATCTAACAAGCTATGACCCTTCGCCTCTCTATAACCAACTTTAGCATAGCACAATAGCTTTCATGCTCACCTTAAAGTCATCAGCCACCAGAAAGAGGAAGTAAAATATAACTAAAAGAACCAGATCTAAAAAGGAGAAAAATTAAATTAAATAAAAACAACTACTTGTGTTTCTCTTGATGCAATTGGATTTTCAATTTTTATAGATATTTTGAATAAAAAAAGGTGATGGTCACTAATTTTACATAGTATGCATTGATTTAATGGGATCAAATTATAATTAGTAGGTGAAGGAATGAGGGGTAATTCATTTAGACTTGGGGGGAGATGAAAGTCTTGATGAGGAGACTATTTATGCCAAACCACTATTACAAAGACTAATATTTGAAGCTACAAAGTTTGAATCAAGGTTATAAATCAGTAGAAGACTATCACAAAGAGATGGAGATAGTAATGGTTTGGGCAATGTTATTGAGGATAGAGAAATCATTATGGCTAGATTTCTTAATGGGTTGAATTGAGACATTGTTAATATTGTTGAGCTACAACACTATGTGAAGCTAGAGGACATTGTTTATATGGCTACGAAGGTAGAGAGACAACTTAGAAAGGGATATGTTTAGCTAGCATTTAATTCGAGTTCTTCATCATCTTGAAAGTTGAATATAAGGAGAGAAGGTATTGTCTAGCCAAGGTCATTTGTTACTTCCAAAGTTGGACCACTAAAGGCTAAAATTAATGTCCCTATTGATGCCGAAGGTAAATATAAAACTCAATCTAAATGTACTCATGATGTTAAATGTTTCAGGTGTTAGGGACATAGACATTATGCTTCGGAGTGTCCAAACAAAAGAATCATAATGATTAAAGATAATGCTGATATCAAATCTGAAAGTGACATATCTGATTATAAAGACATGTTACCATTAGAGGATAGTGATAGGGATGAGTTAGCATTACCGGTTGATGGGTCCATAGTTATAAAGCGAACATTTTAGGTTCAAGTCAAAAAAGATGAAACTAATAAATAAAGGAATAATATCTCCCATACGCATTACTATGTATAAATCAATGTGTGTAGTTTAATTATAGATAGTGAAAGTTGTATTAATATTTGTAGTACCATTCTTGTTAGTAAATTGAATTTATGTACTATTAAGCATGTTAAACCATATAGATTGCAATGCCTAAATAATAATGGTGAAGTGAAAGTGACTAAACAGGTTGCTGTTCCATTTTCGATTAGAAAGTATGTTGATGGAGTTCTGTGCGATGTGGTAGTAATGCAAGCAAGTCACATCTTGTTACAAAGACCATGACAATATGATAAGAAAATAATTTTTTATAGGGTTAAAAATAAGTATACCATTATAAGAAATGGTAAAATCATCACTCTTGTACCTCTTACACCTAAATAGATATATGATGATCAAATAAAGCTAAAAAATAAGCATAAGGCTATAAGGAGAGAAAATCAAGATGAGGAATAGGGGGGAGAATACCATCAGATTTAGTTATAACCCAAAACACCACTACAACCCATTTAGTCACCCATCCATTTATAAACAAATATTCAACCAACACTCCAAACAAATCAGACCATTTAGCCATTATCTAAAAACACCTAAATCTGGCTGATAGTGGAGGTCAGATAAGA